TTTCAGTAAGGCAGACCAAGTTTAAGTGTTGCTCTGTCTCTTACAAACCTTGTGGCCTTGAGCATGTGACTTAGCTTCTCTGAGGTGACAATTAACCCTCACAGGTGAGGAGTGAAGGATGCTCTGCGTGTCACCTAGCCCAGGGCATGGAGATAGAAGGTGCTGGCAAAACACTAGTTCCCCTGATGTAAGTGCTTTTGGGGACATTGTCTCAGGGCAGAAAAGTCCAAACGGACCCCCCGCCCCGCCTGCTGCTTTTCTAGGGAGCAGAGTGTCCTTGCGGGACACAGGAAGGAAAATGCTACCCAGCAGCCCTGCCAGGGAGGCCGAGCCCCCAGCCGCTGCCGCGGGACTGGCACGAGTGACAGCTGACATTTTGTCTTAAGGAAGAGAATTTTTTAGGCCGCCTCCAGGAAGCAATGTTCTCTCAGTCTCCGCGAACTTTTCCCTGTTAATCTCAAATTTCCTTTGCCTTCTCCCTTTTCTCCCTTTCACTGGAAAAGACACAAACACCCCTAGAACCAGCAAGCCCCAGTCTTCCCAACGCTCTCAGGACTGTGGCCACACTGAGCCATCTCCAGCAGGTTCAGGAAAGCCCTTCGCTTTCCATTTCTTTCCTTCCAGCAAGATAAGTGATGTCCCCAGGGAAAAAGAGGCTCCTAGAGTCAGCCGAGAAGAACAGTGGGTAAGGGAGGGGGCCTCCTTCTCCCTCGCCCTCTGGGGAGTTGGCCAGTCCCATGACCACGCCCCTCCCACCCCCAGCTCTGCTCTCTGCCTCAGCAGCATTTACACGGCCCACTTGCTCCTCCTCTCCTGTGGCTCCTTTATATGTCTGGGCTGGCTCCTGCCGGCTGCAAAACTCTCTTGCTTCTCCAGGCAGCGCCCCCAGGAAGACTAGGGACCCCCTTCTGGAGCTGGGGGGGGTGGGTGGAGGACGGTGTTGGTGTGAATTACTCGGCAGTACTAAGACTTCACACCCACAGCAGGAGTCAAAGCATGTCCACCTCCTTCATCCTGGAGACTATATAGTGCAGTGTCCCCATCCTTTCTGGCACTAGGGACCGGTGAGCACCGTGAGAATCTAGTGCCTGACGGTCTGAGGTGGAGCTGAGGTGGTGAGGCGAGCACTGGGGAGCCGCTCCTGCCGCTCACCTCCTGCTGGGTGGCCCGGTTCCTTAAGGCCATGGACTGGTACTGGTCTGTGGCCTGGAGGCTGGGGACTTCTGATATAGAGGGTCCACCTGCATCCCACTTGTCATCAGTCATCAATTCCCTTCCACACCAAGCAGCCCATGCCACCCTGCTTGGTGCCCCTACAAGAGCCTCGAAGTCTCAGCAGAGCCCCCAGCCTGGCACACATGCTCGTCAGTCCAGAGCTGCCCCAGCAGGTGTCAGCCCTTCCTGGCAGAAAACAAACCTAACCCTGGACAGGTGCCGGAGTGGCTGGGGCGTGAGGCTGAGTCGAGGTCAGTTAGGCTTTCGTCTGGCCAGGTTCCCACAAGCCCCATGCTCGATCAGATGAGGGTACAGGCGAGACAGCCTAGCAGCTCTGTAGCACCCCCAGAGACCCAGCCCTGTTCCTTCACCTGTTGGGACAGAGAAGAGTGCATTACCTCCAGAAGATGATCTGCCCCAGGGACGCCATGGCGAGGGGATGGGTCCCTTCCCGCAGTGTGCCGGGCCGGGGTGAGTGGAGCTGCCGCTGGCCTCCCGGTGACTCCCAGGCAGCGCGGGCGGGCGGGCCTGCCGGCCTTAAGTAGTGAGCACAGGCGGGAGCGGGGCGTGCGGCTCGCAGCGGCGGCTCAGCTATGAGGAAGCGGCGGCCCTGCAGGCACCGGGCTGCTGGCTCCCAGCCAGCCGGGCGGCCGGCACGCACGGCCACCTTCCCGGCCCTGACCGGGTGAGCGGGCCAGACGCAGAAGCCTCCCAGACCGCCGCTTCGGGGCTGGCAGTCAGCGCGCGTCTGCTCCTCCGACTCTGCGGAGGGGACCCCCGGGGATGCAGCTTCAGTCTCCAAACAGGAGAGGACTGGGGCAGCGCGAAGCGTCAGGCCGGGCGGGGAAGCTGGGAGGCAGC